CTTGTCGACGTCCAAAGCCTCATAAGGAAACCCCAAGGGCAGAAGAGGGTGTTGAAGGGGGAGCAACAGAGGGGGAAGGTGTGAAAATTACAAAGGACAAAGCAATTTGGCCTTAAACGTGACACCAGCAGAGGACGCACATCACAAGGATTGTTAAACCACAGTATGAGCTGGGGGTGGGGGCGAGGGGGAAGGGTGATGTGGGGAGAAGGTGAGAGTTATACTCTGGTCAAACTAATCCCTTCAAGCTTTCACTTTCTTCCGTCATCTCAGAATAATAATCCTTGCATTTTATATCGCGCCTTATCACATCTTCAAGATGTCTCAAAGCGCTTCACAGAATATACTGTAAAACTGCATTGACTGTATATTCTGTGGGCGAAACGCGGCAGCCAATTGCACACAGGAGTGTCCCACAAACAGTCGGGGAATGAGTAACTACATTTTTTTTGAAAGGATTATTACCCCCGGAAAAACGATCCACCAATTGACTAGCAACCAGGTTCCTACTTACTGCTAAGTAAACAGAGGTGTGTGGAATAAGGAAATTTACCCAACGTTTCGCCCTGCCCGGGAATCGAACCCGGGTCCTCTCACTTGCGAGGCATGAACAGTAAGTACCTTACACTTGATATTTTACTGAACTTTTAAGATCATTTTTCTAATATCAGAGATTGGTGCAGTATTTCGCGACACAAAAGCACAAGACTGATCTCATCCCCCCAGAACACCCAACTCTCCTCCTCATCAAAGCATTGAGCTGCTTTTTAAATGAGTCCCAGAGTCCTGGCCTCAACCAACCTTCCTGGTGACCTCGTTCAGTGAATTGCGATTGGTATCACTTCATTTTTGTTTAACAACCACGGAAAAATAAAACATCTTTCCAAATGGGACAGAGATTAAGGATGTACCAAAGTTCTGCACAATCTTACTAATAATAATCCTGGCATCTGATATAACACTTTATGACATAATTCTCAAAGCACTTCACAGAATATATTGTAAAATGCATTGTTTATTTGACTGTATATTTATATATTTGACTGGATATTGACTGTAGGTGAAACACGGCAGCCAATTGAGCACAGCAACATCCCACAAACAGTCGTGGATTGAGTGACCAATTTTATTTGGGCGGAAAGGATTATTATCCCTGGAAAGCGATCCGCCAATCGACTAACCACCGGGTTCCTACTTACTGCCAGGTAAACAGGCGTGTGGAATAAGGAAACTTGCCCAAAGTTTTGCATCGCCCAGAAATCGACCAAACAATTATTGTTAAAACAAAAACAGGAGTCGCTGGGAACACTCAGCAGGTCAGGCAGCATCTATGGAGAAAGGAAAGTGAGTCAAGGTTTCGGGTCCACGTCCCTTCGTCAGAACATGACCTTTCGTTCTGACGAAGGGTCATGGACCCGAAACGTTGACTCGCTTTCCTCTCGCTGTAGATGCTGCCTGAGCTGCTGAGTGTTTCCAGCGACTTCTACGTTTAGTTTCAGATTTCCAGCATCTGCAGTATTTTGCGTCTAATTATTATTACTGCTTTATTTTAAGAGATTATTACCCATGGAAAGCGATCTGCCAAACGACCAGTTGATCGTAATCTTTGGAGAAGGGCAATCTGATAGACAAAGACAGAGTGGAATGGAACGAAACAGCAGCTCTAACCTCAGACCCACACTCAATCCTCAGCACCAGTCTGCTCACGTCACCGCTTGCTAGTAATATATAACAGCTCACCACCAAACCTACCCTCCACTAAAAACAAAAAACACCAATGAGAGTGCGGTAACATCATGCAAAAAAAAACAACCGACCTCGGAGGCTGGTCAGTCTCTTGTGCCTGTGAAGGGGGGAGCGGGGTGGTGGGGAGGAATGATGTGGGGTTGGGGGAAGACATCAGCATCTTTTTATTCCCTTGATGACCATGTCATAACACAGCAAAACATAAACAACAAAGTGTGACGGTGTTAGTGAGACCAACTCATTTAAACCCTCACATGACAAGCAGAAATGTATCATACCCCAGCGAGACATATAGACAGAGACACACAGACACTTGTCTGTGCATCGCTGGTCAATGCCTCACACTTTCCTCTCTGCTTTTGAAGCAAGAAACACAATGTCCTCAATGATCTCACCCCGACTAGCAGGTCAATCATCTGTTTCAACGAGACACATAACAGATGAACCATGTCTAGGGCACCATCAAGATTGGCAGAGAGGGGGGAAGAGATAACCTGAGCAGCGGGTAATTGATAAGTAGCTTGTTTGGGAGAGGAGTGGGTGGGGGGGTTTAGTAGCCTGCAGGAGGAAGGGAAATGCAAGGGACCAGTGATCCTCCATGGGTTTGAGATCCTGGAAAAGTGGTGCCTATTGCCTTACTGTGAGCTGAGTGGTGGGAGTGTGAGCTGAATGGCCTCCTTGTATTGGGGAAGAGACGAGCTCTGTGCAGTTCATCCGGCCGCTGGCAACGTTAAGGACATTGCAGCCAGCAACACCTTGGACCAGGAGGGTCTCCTTTGGAGGTTTAAGACTTGACGGATGTTTCCTCGCCTCTGTTTCCGTCTCCATCTCACTTACAGAGCACACAGTCATTACACTTCATAGTAAATCCTGCGAAGCGCTTTGAGATGCCCTCCCGGTATGAAAGATGCCGGGTCAAATCTTGTCTGCTTTCGTCCCATGATCTATTTCAAAAGATATTTACCTAGATGGTTCCCGTTTATATTACATAATTATGTACAAATAGCAAAACCTGTGTGACACATCCAGACTCTCTACCCCCTCCACCCCTAGAAATCTCATGCGCAATCTCGCATGTTGTAATTGTTTCAGGTTTTAAGATGGAAAAGCGACAGAGTTAGTAAGAGCGCTTGTCATCCCTTACTCTTGACTTTATTTCTGTCTCACACACCACTGGAAACTCATGTTCTCTCAGTCACTGAATCACAATCAGAATTGGTGGAAAATGTTAACAAGCTTAATGCAGAGAAGGGAGTGAGAGATAGTGTGCAGAGAGAGCGTGAGAATGAGACAGAGCGCAGAGAGAGAATGCAAAGAGGGCAAATGTAGAGAGGGAGAGCACGCAGCGAGCGAGAGAGAGTGCAGCGAGTGAGAGCATGTAAAGAGCGAGGGCAGAGAGAGATGGCGAGAGAGAGACTGTGCAGAGAGACAGGGAGAGAGGTCTGAGAGAGAGAGTTTAAGTGCTTTGGTATAGCGCTTTATCATGTCGGAAGGATGTCTCAAAGCGCTTCACAGGATTTTACTTGAAATGGAGTGACAGGTGAACGTGGCAGCTCAATTGCGCACAGCGATGTCCCGCAAACAGCCATGAAAAGAGTAACCAATTTTTTTTTATTTGGGGGATATAGAGTGTGGCCGGGATTAAAAAGATGGTTACGTCATGATTGGCGTGTCAGGGTTTGATGGCGTGTTAGTAAGTGGCCTGTTGTAAGTGGAATGTCCGTGTGTTGCTGTATGGTGAATCTGTGAGGCCTGAGAGACGTGTATACGATGCTTGACTGACCCTCAAACTGCTTCAGCGGTGGAAACGGAGCGACATACTTGATTGATTCATTACTTGATTAAGGGCCTCCTCCACCCACACGCCCGTCAGCTGTGGATGACTTAAGAGGCAATTCTTTCCAACTAACCCAGCGCTTTGCATTTCAAGCGGCGCAGCTTGTCTCAAGGGAAGTGGGTGCCAGAGAGCAGGAGTGCGTGAGGAGACATCTGAGCACGAGACGGGGGACGTGGCAATGACGAGGTTTACTGTCTGAAAATAACAGGTCAGCACAAAGCTCACACACTGAGGCAATTTGCATGGATTTTCTCTATAGGTATCTGTGTCAATCACCCCTCAGGTAACCACGCCCCTCCAGGTAACCCTGCCCCTCCAGGTGACCCCCTCCCCTCTCCAGGTAACCCCACCCTCCAGGTAAACCCCCTCCCCAGGTGACCCCGCCCCTCCAAGTAAGCCCCCCTCCCTCTCCAGGTAACCCCGCCCCTCCAATACCAATCACTAAACACGACAGTGTAGACCCTCTATAGCTGGGGCGGGGAGGGGGCTATAAAAATGCCACAGTCTTGCGTCAGAGCACTCGCGAGAAGAAATCTTGTCAGTGAGTTTTTTCCCACATGTTTTTTTTCTCAAATCTTTTATTTTTTTTAAACTAGCGCTTCAACCACGAGGGTGGGGGTGGAGTCAGGGAGGAGTGGGATGAGGTGGGAGGGGGGGGTTGGTTGGCGTGGGTCTGCGGAGAACAAGACAAGCCTGATGAGGGATGAACAGGTACCAATCACGCTAAGGCGGGACTTGGAGTTGTTGGATTCAGGATACAGGAGCCACTAACATCGTGTGAGAAAGTTCCAAAAAAATTTAACAGAGAAACAGTGAGATTTCAGGTTGGAATTAGACTTAAACTTGGCATTTAAAAGGGGCACCTTCATCATCGTGAATCATCATCAACCTCTTCCTCCTCATCATCACCTTACTTTGGGAGGGAGGGAGGGAGGGAGGAGAGGGGCAAAGGTAAAGCGATTAATGGAAAACTTTAACAACAACTTGAGCCATTAACAACAGAAGCTTCCGAACTTTTGAGATGATCTGAAAACTTGTCTCTATATTCGTAGCCGCCCAGAATTCAGCCGTTCTCAGTTGCAGGTTTAGACACAGACCTCCCTCACTCTTTACCATCCACCAAAAACCAATTGGTCATTGAGCCAATTTAATGGTCCAGACCTGATGTTGAGAACACCCACTGCAATCACAGGAGGTGGTTGGGGTGGGGGGGGGGGGAGAGAGAGGGAATGGGGGAATGAAGGGGGGACGAAAAGGTGCAATGACCTTTGAAAGAAAAAGTTGGAATGAAAATAACTTAGTGTGGATCAAGTAAAACAAACAAAGGAGAGACTGGCATCTCTCTAGCGATTTTACAATATCTCGTTAAATGAAAGGAAATAATAATAAGCCTTGCATTTGTTACAGAAATCCGCCATTCTGGGGGGGGGGGGGCTGGGAGGGCAGGCGGAACAGTGAGTGAGTGACTTCCAAGTCCACCATTCTGTAGAAGTAAAAACACTTGTGCATACACACACGCACACACACAGACACACACACAAATCAACAAAATAAAAAGCATCAACTAGCTTTACAGAGGCCTAGCCAGGGATGGGGTGGGGGTGGCGGAAGTGGGTGGGGGGTTGTAACAGGTGGAGGCATGCGGGAGTGAGACATTAAACCAGGAGACTGCATTTCCTGGGCCCTGGTTCACATTTTTTTCAGAATTCTCTCCAAATAACGAAAAAAGTAAAACAAACGCCGAAACAAATCGCGGCACGTAACCCTGCCTTGGCGCGGTGGTGGGCCCCACCGGCTGGCCGGCCGGCCGTCTATCTGGCTTCTAACAGGAGACCTCCATGGTTTGCGGGGCTGTGTCCCCGATGGGCGGGTGGACCGCGTGCTGCTGACTCCGAGCCCCCTCTCCTGAGCCCACGCTGGAGGTGGAGGTGGTGCGGGAGCGATTTAGCCGGGTCATGGTGACGGTCGGCACTGTGGTGGGTGTGAGAGAGAGAGAGAGAGAGAGAGAAAAAGAAAGAGGGGTGGGGGGGAAAGAACACACATTTGATGTTAAGTCAATAAAAAAAAATCAACCTACAACGGGGGCTGGTTGCTCCTGCCTCTCACACCCCGTGGGCTGTGTTTCTGGGGAGACTTGCTGGTGACTAGCTTTACTAAGTACAACCATTTTGTCACAACTTGTCCAAGTCTTGCACTACTCCCAAGAATGCGGTTCCCACCTACACACGGAAATTCGAGACATAAGATTGTCGGAATGGAATCCACTCTCTCTCTCTCTGTCTCCCTAGAGGGACGCACTCTGCTTACCCAATTCTGGAAAGCATTAGGGCGCAGGTTGGCGAGGGCCAAGGCAAAGTTTGGAGGTCGGGTGTTGGGAGAGCTCAGAGTGTGCGTTGGGGTAACTGCTGGCGTCTAACCAGCTAAAACAGCCGTAGCTTGTCATTGAGAGCACTGTCTGTTAAGCAGAAACGCTGCTTATTGAGATAGGACCACCTGACCGTTAGGGCTTTGGTTTGCAGGGTTAACAGGAACCGAGTGGGAAGAGTCCTCGCTCCTAGTAACTGGTCTAATGAGGATAGATAAGAAGTCAGTTGAGGGATTCAAGAGAGAGAGAGATATGGAGGGGTGGCTGGGAAGTAAAGGGATATTAAGGGTTCTGAGAGGAGGGTGTTTGTTGTAGGCAGACAGTGGATGGTTCTCTGGCTGTCAATTCTTCGTCTCGGGCGCTGTTTGCACACGGGAATAATCCATGTGGATAATCCACGATGGTCTCTCTCCCCCTCCTCCCCCCCCCTCCCCACCCCACCTCTCCCCCTCTCCCCTCACATCTAATTTCCAAATGCTGTCCCCCCAGAAACATCCAAGCGAAGGAGCCACGAAGAAATCCGGTGGGAACAGGTCCCAATTCCTGTCGAACACTGGCACCCCCCCCGACTCCCCTCCCCCCCTCACGCACGTGCATCCCCAAACACCACGCCACCCCCCAACCCCCCCACCCCATATCACGCGCACGCCATTCTCCAGCCGTTGCCATGGAGACATTGCCATGATGCACCGAGCCAGCAAAGCATGTTGTCTTGGAATGAAAGGAGAGGGGTGGGGGGGGGGGGGGGCGGAGTGGGGGGGGGGTGGGGAATGGGGGAGAGGGGGTTTGGACAGACAACAAAACATATCTTGTTTGGCACAAAGGGAAAGGGAAGGTAGGAGGGAAGGAAGACAACAAGACATTGTTTGTCTCGGTGTTAAATTTGCTACGGTAAAGCCAAGCTAAAGCAGAACATTAATGAGGAGAACCTGGTAACACGGATAGGGGGTGGGGGTGGGGCTGGGGGAACACGCCAAAGCCCAGAAGCATGATGGAAGCAGCGAAGCCATGATGGGAAGCCGTGATGCCAAAGCGTGACAGGCATGGCGAAACATGACGGGAACACGGAACGCACATACAGCTACCTGTTTCATTGTGCAGGTGGCTGAGCTGCACATAGGGGACTGTAAGCAGGGAGTGGGGGGGAGGGGGGAGGAGTGTGAGGGAGGGGGGGAGGTGGGGGAGGGAGGGGGGCACACAGAAAGAGAACCAGTCAGATTATTATTGTCGTAGACAAGTACAGTTGTAGGTCACACAGACAGACCGACAAGACAGACGCCCTCTCACAAGTGTCCGCCTCCAACCAACTCAGCGACGATATCGATTACATATCAATAAATAAACAGCAGTTTGCACCGTGTAAGTGGGAGCATGAAGGTCAGAACACACATGGGGGGGGGGTGGGGGGGGGGCGGAGAGGCAGGGAGGTGGAGGAGGGGGTTAAATAGAGGGTTAGAAAGCAAGCACAGCCCTCACTTGCTTTTCAAAGCGCCCTCCAATAACACTCACATTTTAAGACAAAGTGAGAAACTGGGCTCCCGAAGCTCGAGATTAGATTTTCTGTCTGGATTTCTCTCCCTCACCCCACCCTAGGTTAGGTTTATGGAGCGTTTAGTCCACTCAGAGGCAGGTCAGGGGGTTAAAAACAACAACACTCTTTGCGCTTTTGATTCAGGATGCTGGTCACGCACACAGAGGAACATAGAAACGGGAGGAGGCCATTCAGCCCCCTCAAGCCTGTTCTGAAATTCTATAAGATCATGGCTGATCTGTACCTCAACTCCACACACAACACACACACACACATATATATATATATCTATATAGTCTATATAGATATACAGAGAGACTAACCACACAATAGAAGTCAAATAGAGAACGCAGGACAGTGCACACTTTAGAATTCAAGAACACACTCCACTCCACACACGTTGTTTAGAGAATGGTAATTTAGCCAGTAATCTACTTTTAAACACTTCAGAACTCTTTCCTTGCACCCCGATCGCATTAGAAAGACGTTTTGTTTCTGGCCTACAAGACAAATGGTTTCATTTCTAACCTACTGTATTTTGCGAAGCTCTTCCGAGACAGATATCTGTTCTATGGCAGACACACAGCATGGAGCACATCGACCCCCAACACCTTCCTCGCCTCCCCCCCACACACGCACACACACACACACGCACAGACCCCCATCAGCACCCGCAGGAACAGTTAGTCCTTCCTCACTCACCGCCCTTCAACACAACTGTGCTCATGGAGTCTGAACCCGTGGTTTGTAATCAAAGTAATAATAATAATCCTTGCATTTGATGTAGCGCCGCATCACGTCATTGAGATGTCTCAAAGCGCTTTGCAGAATATACTGTAAAGGGAATTTATCGTGTATTTTGTGGGCGAAACGCGGCAGCCAATTGCGCTCAGCAGTGTATCAGCCAAGGAGCGGAGGAGTGAGCTCCTTGAGCTGAACGCCCACTCTCCCTCTCTCCCTCGTTCTCATCTCCCGTTCCCGTGCCCAAATATTTTCAACCCGGGGCGCATTGTAGCTCGACATTTCCAAAACATAATCCGCCAATACTTAGATTAAAGACTCCAGGTTCAGACTCCGTCTCTCTGCGAGCAGCGTGTTCGTGACACGCGGAATGGAAAAGGGGTGGGTTGGCAAAGGGGGTGGGTGGGCAGGCGGGGAAGGGGGGAGGGGAAGGGGGAGAAAAAGATCAAGTGTGGTGAAAGGAGTGAGTGAAGTCGGTCAAAAGATCACCACAAAACACACAAATCCGCAGCAGGACCGAAAGAGGACCAACAATTTGCTGACGGTTCACTTGGGCTTCGTCAGGTGAGGCAGCGGACGGCAGAGCCTGGTGGTGGGGGGGGTGGGGGGTCGGAGGAGAGATGGGAGCGTGTGTGTGTTTGTGGGGAGTGGGGGTGGCGGAGGGGGTCGCACTCACATCCCAGTACATGCTCCAGGCTCCAGGTACAAGTGCCCAACCTTGCCAGACTGTCAGCAAACAGGACTCACCGTATCCCTTTCTCCTGGTGCAGGCTCCTATTCTAGTGGAAAGGCTAGGACTGCGACATGCAATACTGCGAGCTGGTATTAGTCGGTGTTAGTGAGTGAGGGGGAAGTAGGGGGGTTGCCCTTTACTGCCCATCGCTCCAATCTCAAGTCTCCAGCGGCTCAGGAAACAAAATATATCATATTTTTCGGGGGTTTTTTTGCGCGTGAAAAAAAAAATCACCACAGCTCGGTGCTGTGATGGGAGGGTGATAAATAATAATAATATTAACAATAATAATCCTTGTGTTTAATATTGTGCTTCATTGCGACATCTCATTGCGCTTCACAGGATATACTGTAAAGTGGGGTGACTGTATTTTGTGGGTGAAATGCGGCAGCCAATTGCACACAGCCAGTGTCTCACAAACAGTCATGGATTGAGTGACCACATTTTTCTTTTTTTTTGGGGGGTGGGGGAGGGATTATTACCCCTGGAAAGCGATCCGCCAATCGACTAACAACTGGGTTCCTACTTACTACTTTGGCAAACAGGTGTGTGAAGTAAGAAAACTTGCCTAAGGTTTTGCCCTGCCCGGGAATCGAACCCAAGTCCTCTCGCTTGTGAGGTGAGCGCTCCAACCGCTATGCTACAGGACTCTATGAGCAATGAGCTCGCTCAGAGACTTGGACCGGCAGATACTTGAGATTTTGGAGACAAATTTATTCCCCTCCCACTCCCCCTCCCAAAGGAAATTGGTTTTGCCTGAAAGGAGCTTTGCTTCATGTGAAAGCCAAAGCCGAGGTTGGTTTGTTTCCCGATCAACAGCAGTATTGCATTGAGTTCTCCCAGAGAGTGTAGCTCTAGCGCATGCAGTTTTCATTCCATCGCATTAAAATACAGTACTTACAATGGGCGTGAAACACTGGAAATAAGACGTTAGAGCAATTAGTTTTACACCTTAACCCTTAATGCTGTTAGTCAGACACACAGACACACACTGGGCACTGCTACACAGCATTGCATTGACACCATACCAGGCGTAATTTAATTTGAGGCAAGTTTTCACATCTTCACCCTAAAAGTCATTGTCTTGGGATTCATCCCTTTTCTATCGCCCTCCCCCCCATTGAAAATAAACTGACTTGCATTAAAGGAATGGCCTGAAACATGAACAAGGTTAGCAGCAGTGAGACTGAGGTTAAAGGTTAAGGTTAGTTGGTTAATTGGATTAGTTAGCTTGTAAGGGCAGAATTGGGAGCATTGGCCTCCCCCTCCCCGAGGAATCTCAGCCCAATGCTGTCCTCGGCCCTGCTCGCTCCACTCGCCTTGCTGTAACATGCCGAATCCCCAGCTACACGTGGTTTGGGATATTACTCCGTAGAAATTCCAATGGAAGAGCCGATTCCTCAGAACAATATTGGAACAATATTCGAGTCTCCGCGAAAGGTTAAAACGCAGCTAGGAAAATGATCACCAAGCGTGGCGAGGACGTGTAACGGATTCGGAGATGTACTTACTGTAGCCCATGCCCTGCACAAAGTACTTGAAGGCTTCTGTCAGCTTGCCGGGCTGGGCATGAACACAAACACACCATTAGTCCACTCACCCCGCGTCGCATTACAAACAAACTTCCTCATACAAAAAAAATACGCAGCCACTGCACTTTACACCAATTCCTACGAAGCGCTTTGAGCCAATTCTACACAGCGGTGCCCCAGAAACACAGTCGTGGTTTGAGCGACCACACTTTTATTTTTGAGGGATTATTATCCCTGGAAAGCGATCCACCAATCGACTAACAACCGGGTTCCAACTTACTGCTGGGTAAACAGAGACTTGAGTGTGGAGTAAGGAAACTTGCCTAAGGTTTTGCCCCGAGCCGCCCGGGGAATCGAACCCAGGTCCTCTCTCTTGCGAGGCGAGTGCTCTAACCACTGAACTACGGGACTCCTCAGTCCACAGGCCTCTTTGACATCCCTCCGTGGCCCCTCCACTCACCTGAACAACCTGTGGTAGACCTCCGCAATCCGCCATCTGCCAATGAAAGAGAAGCAAAGGTTCATCGCTATCAGTGGAGCACCTGTCTCACTGCCGGGCCGGTGGGGGCTCCCAGCAAACCACAGCCTACAAGCAAAACACCCCAGGGGGCCACTGCGGGACCAGCTGTCACCAGGTCCTCCTTGTGGCCACAACTGATAATTACAACAGACGCTCGTGGCCTGGTTCAGAACCCGCCGGTAACAGTGCTAAATGGGACAAGTCCCCCTCCCCTCTACCCCACGCCCAGTGCACCCAGAGTGTAGTTTTCATTGTTAAAAATGTCCGCCTCAGCCAGTCAGACAGTCAATCAGTCAGTCACGCTACGCTGGGCTGTGACACACTGCTCTGTGGGACAGTCACACCTCAAAGAGTCAAAGCTACTGGTGACATGGTGGACTTCAGCCCAGTGCTGGAAACATTTTGATACGAGTCGAGTCAGGATGGTTTCTTTTGAGAGAACGGACAAGCAAAGCAAAGGAGAACGGGAGTCACGCTCCATGGGTGTTGTGGGAGGTAGGGAGGGTGGGGGTGTGTGGGTTGGGATTCTCACCTTCAGTAGTGTTGTTTTGGTGGGGTTTAATCTGGAATTGCATTCCACCTGGAGCCAAAGCGGGAACAGAGTGAGAATGTTAGTAATGAGCCAACAAGACTGATGTCCCTAAAGATCACACAGGAGCCGTGCAGAAAGCGTGGCGGAGATTTAGTTTGGAACCGGACAGAGGGAAGTGGCCTGGACGTGTGGTGAAGATGGTCACACGGCCTCACCCTACCTTACTCTCAGTGCCCACCGACACGACACTCTCCCTTTGCCCCGCTTCGTGTCCCCCATCCTGCCCCGCCCCGTCCGCCCCAACATCAGCGGGCAAGCTTTCAGCCATTCCTTTCCTGTCTCCATCCCAGATAATCCCTCCCACCCCAGTTTTAAAGCCCGCCTCAAGCCTTACCTTTATGGCTGTGCTTTTGGTCCTCACCCACCCCCCTCCCCTCCCCCTCCTCTTCAGCTCCCACCCACTCCTCCACCAACTCAGGGACCCAGTTTGAGACCCTGGACGTGAAAGGCTCTGCATAAATATAAAATGTGTTGTATTGTTCCCAGAAGCTGCTCTTGACTGAAGAACAAGCGTCCAAGGGCGAGCAGGTACCCAACGCAGAAAGAACCAAAAGCGAAAGGGTTTCTTGGTCTCTGTGTGACAGACTCTGTTGTCCCATTCACCACAGACGGGATAATGAGCAGGGCTCGATCTCAGTCGCTGTCACCTACCACAGCATCCACCGCCGGAGAGGTGTCCCCGACAACCAGCAAAGCAGGACACCTACAAACAGCGAAGAGGAAAGGCTATTATAATCACAATAATCCCTGTGTTTATTGACTAAAGAACAGGTATCCAGGGCGAGCAGGTTTGTTGTTGTCGTGTTTGATGCAGTACAAGGGTTTGGGGTGGGAGTTGGGGATAGGAGGGTGACCGAAGTCATGGTCAAACAGGAATGTCTTGAGACGGGCCCTGTGGTCGGGCAGGTAATAATAATGATAATAATCCTTGCATTTGATATAGCGCTTTTCACGTCGGGAGGACGTCCCAAAGCGCTTCACAGAACACACTATAAAGTGAATTGACTGTATATTTGTGGGCGAACGCGGCAGCCAATTGCGCACAGCAATGTCCCACAAACAGTCGTAGATTGAAAATGACCAATTTATTATTGTTTTTGGTTTTGGAGGGATTATTATTAGGCTCTGTGTGGAGTAAGGAAACTTGCCCAAGGTTTCGCCCTCTGCCTGGAATTGAACTCAGGTCTCTCACTTGCAAAGCGAGTGCTCTAACCACTGAGCTACAGGACTCCTTCAGGTAGAGGGCGGTGGACATAGAACAGGCCAATGCTTGCCGAGCGGGTAAAGCGTTTTAGGAGGGTCACAGAAATAAAGAAGGAGCAAGATCGAGAAAGGCTTTAAACATGAGAATGAGGATCTTGAACTCAATCCTTTGGGGGAACGGAGAGCCAGTGAAGTCGGGAGAAGCCGGGGGTGATGGGCTCACGGAGTTTAGTGCAGGATTTCCGAATAATTTGCAGCTTGTGGAGGGTAGAGTTGGGAGGTCCTGCGAGCAGAGACGTAATGGAAAGTGTGGACGTGGATCTTGGCGGCCTGAGGAGGGGAGGGATAGTGGCAGAGCCTTTGAACCTGCATTTTGTGCGTTAGAAGGTCACTCACTGGAGAGTTTGAACAACAGCTTCGTTGACTCCGAGGACAGGCCGTTCAATCTCCAGGTCTCTACGACTGTGTTGGGGGGGGGGGGAAGGGGAGAAAAACAAGAAGATGTTATAATGTCACCGTTACCCAGGCAACACAAGATACATCTACTGGGTGTTCACAAAGTCCTGTTACCATCCCCCCCAAACCCTACTGTTGTTTTTCTGACAATGAATTTGTATTTCCTGTTGCAGATGAGTCAAGTGTAACAATGTCTGATAACAGTAACTTCCTCCTCACTCCATACATGTTGTAGAAAATGTCGCAACCAAACATGGGACTGGATCATTATCTGCCATGAAAATGATGGCGATCACTTTCGTTTGCATGCACGCACACGCACACGCACACACACACACACACACTCACAGACACTGATCCTCTGGACATCTAAACACAGTTAAACACTTGTACTGAATACAATGAAGTACTCGTAAATACAATGATCATCATTCTTCCGATTGTTGGTCAGTGTAGAGAAAAAACAGGGAGGGGGCGGGTAACAGGACTTTGTGGATACCCTGTACACTTAGATCCCAGCAGCATATTGCAAAGATTACTTCCCATTATCTGGAATTTATTGATCTGGAAGTGAGGAGGAAGGACTTTAGGAAATGCAAAGCTCTAACCCACAATGTGATCTCCTCCTCGGGTTTGATCTATTGACTCTGTGGTGCGAGGAGGGCTAAATGCTGTCAGTAGCTGGGTTTGGAGGTTCCTCACCTGTTGTACGAGTTGACAAACAGATGAAGATTGTCTTGGTTGATGTCCTGAGAGATGTGGAGTCGGTAAGTTTGGATCAGCTCCATGTTGTTTTCCAGCTCGTCCTGCAGGGGGCAGCAGAGGGGGGTTTAACAAAAAATAATAATAATCCTTGCATTTTATATAACACCTTATCATGTCGTTGAGCCGTCTCAAAGCATTTCACAGTTTATAGTATCAAGTGAATTGACAGGGTGCTTTTGTGGGCGAAACGGGAAGCTGATTGTGGAGTTAGGAGACTTGGAGTACGGTTTTACCCCATCCAGGACCTCTTGCTTGCGAGAGCGAGTGGTTTAAATTGAATGGGGGGACGGGGCTGGTGGTGTTTAAGCAGGGAATTCCAAGCCTGGTACACAGAGTTAAACAAAACATAGGTTCAACTCACACTGCTGAAGTGATGGCCCAGGACAATATCCTCCAGGTTGGTTGTCCACCCAGACAGCTGGAAGAGAACGAGAGGCAAGAGATACCACCATTAGCAACAATAACAACAAAATTACACGTGTATAGTCACTTTTAGGTCGGGAGGACGTTTCAAGGCATTGGACAATCAATGTTTTGGACCAGAGCTGAGGGTTGGGATCGGGGAGGGTGGAGGGCGGGGGGCAAAGGAGGGTGACCGTAGGCACGGTCGAAGAGGAGGGTCTTGAGATGGGTCTTGAAGGAGGCAAGGGAGAGGGCGAGGCGGAGATACTGCGGAATAGAGTTCCACAGGGTGGGGGCAGAGTGGCTGAAGGCCCGCCAATGGTGGGCCAGGCGAGGCAGGGGACGTAAAGCAGGCTGGAACCCACTGGATGGAGGGAGCCTCCAGACAGTGGTCCTGGAGTCGAGGGTGGAGGCAGAGAGATAGAATTGGGTGTCATCTGCATACATGTGGAAGTTGACCCCATGTCTGTGGATGATGTCACCAAGAAGGAGCATATAGATATTAAAAAGGAGAGGGCCAAGGACAGAGCCCTGAGGGACACCTCTAGCCATTAGTGGCGACAAAATGGATACGGTGGGAGAGGTAGGATTTGAACCAGGCAAGGGTAGGTCTGTGACGATTGAGCTGACAGGAGAGGCAGTGGAGGAGGATAGAATGGTTGACAGTGTTGAAGGCAGCAGAGAGGTCGAGGAGGACAAGGAGGCAGAGAGAGCCCTGGTCGCAGATGTTCAGAATGTCGTTAGTGACTTTGAGCAGGACTGTTTCCATGCTGTGGGTGGCACAGAAGCCTAATTGGAGGGGATCAGAGAGGGATTGGTGGGAGAGGGAATGGCGGGAGAGGAAAGAGTGAAACTGGGACACAACGACTCATTCCAGAGCCTTGGAGAGTTGAGGTACAGATCAGGCATAATCTAATAGAATGGTGGAACAGGCTTGAGAGGCTGGACGGCCTCCTCCTGTTCCTATGGTGTGAGCACACAGTGTGATTCCAGTTGGGAAACATGTGGATCATTTCACCCATTACGTAATCCAACAACAATAATCAGTGGGACCTGAAATTCCTGAGCCGGTCATTGTGCTGAATGTCCGATAATGACCACAAGGGTTAATCTCCGCAGATTATAACTCGGAGGGGGTGGAGATTAATGACACTGAGCCGCTAATAGTGGATAAAACCAAAAAGAACATCCTTCTTTGTTATACATATATATATTTATATATGAAAATAAACGTTTGTTTAACAAGTGGGTAACTACATACATACTTTCGATGCTGCCCAGTCAATCCAGCCTTTAGCACACGGGTCAATGTTGATGAGGACCAGACCCTCAACGAGCCCTGGGTTGTTCAACTGCACAGAACAAAGTGGGGGTTAGTTTGAGACCAGCAAGTGAGTAGGAACCATGTGGAGACAGTTAAGAGGTGCTTCACGCTCTTTAGATCAGGTGGGGTGAAAGCGACAGAAATATTGCATAAATATTCTCTCCCCCCCAACTTCCAACCCCAATCCTGAGCTCAAACTCTCCCAGCAAACTTCTGCCCAGGAGGAGGGAACGACTTTTATTTGATTTTTCCAGTGCCTCGGGACATCCTCCCGACATGAAAGGCAATACACAAATGTAAGTTGTTGTTGTTGTTGATCATCACCTTAGGATTCGACATTCTGGCTATCTCGCCTTTATTATGATATTATTGTACTATTATCATTATTATCAACCAATGTTCCCAGGAATATCAATGTCCCATTTCCCCATCAACAGCCTCTACATTTTCAGCTGTGATTAATGTGATTACTTTCCCCTCCCTCTCCTCCATCTCCTCCCTCGCCTCCCCACGTCACCCCCACTCAGAGTGAATTCTGAGTTAGCAGCAAAGCAGGCATCTCCGGAGTTCTGAACTTGTGAGGACAATAATAATAATAATAATAATCCTTGCATTTGATATAGGGCCTTATATCATTGAGACGCCTCAATGCGCTTGACAGGATATACTGTAAATTGAATTTTGTTGGTGAAACGCGCCAGCTAATTGCGCACAGCAGCGTCCCACAAACAGTCTTGGGATTGAGTGACCACGTTATTATTTGAGGATGAGGAGGGAGCTCGGCCCTGGGTGGGAGGCTGGATGGAGGAATGCGAACTCACAGCAAATCTGCTTAGGATATAGGCGCCCGCTCCCACTCCGATCCCAATCACGTTCTGGATACTGCGGAGAAACCGGAAAAAAACGGAGTCAGAGACCGCCAGGGAGGAAGGGAGGGGGGGAGATCACTGGGAGGGGAGCTTGGATTCATCGCAAGCCACTGATAGGAACAGGAGGCCATTCAGCTCATCGAGTCTATTTCTGCTATATTTGATCGCGGCAGATTTTTTTCCTCTTTAATTCTCAAGTGTGTACCTCTCTCATTGTGAAAGCTCCCAGTGAAGCGAATTCTTCTCCACCCCCATTGCACACAGCAATTCTTTCTGTTCTCACGTCTGAACCGTCCTCTCTCTCTCTCTCTCTCTCTCGATTGCAAATTCGTCCCAAAAGGGAAAGAGTTATCGATGACTAAACCGTCAAATCCCTTTGTTAATTCAAAAATACCTCAGCCAAGTCACCTTATCCAACCTTTTTACAGCTTCAACTCTCAAGGAATGTAAACCACACCTCCTCTCCCCAGCCTCTCACCACCCGTGTGTTATTAACCCCGGCCTTGCACCCCCAGCTTGGGTCCAAACTCCTGACTGTCCAGTGCCTTGGGATGTCCTCCCGACGTGGAAGGTGCTGTGTAACTGTATTATAGTGTATTGTATTATCTAGTGACTGCAGCTGGACTCACTTCAGATAGGTCAGGACTGACATCAGCATCTCAGCCATCTGATCCATGGTTGGATACAGGTACCTGAGGAGAGAGAGAGAGAGGCAGGTCAACGTTAAGTGCTTCCTGTCAAATCTTAGCCAATTGCAATCAAAATAATCAAACCAGACTTCGGGAGACGGAGAGAGAACTTTCACAGTGATTTCTTGAAACCTCTCAAAGCACTTCACAAGGTAATCACTCGAAGTGACCCTTTTTTGCGGGCAAAATTGTCAGTGATTTGCGCTAGCAAGTTTGACCCCCACCCCCCGTCCGGTTGGAATGCAATTGAATCTCTGTGTTAAACAAGCCGCGATAAAGAGAATATCTCACCCCGATGGGAAGGGTGGAGCGCCCTCTTGGTGACCGGGGGCATCCACGTGGCACACGGCAAAATGGTGCGTGATCTCCTGCATGTCCTCGAAGTTGAACAACGTGTTGAAGCACGACTTGTCTGGGACGGAAACAAGCCAAATGTGCAGTGAGTGAAGGCAACTCGTCCTCACAATACTCAACCCCCTCCTCGCTCCCTCCCCCAATCCAGGGAACAACCACAATAATAATCCTTCCGTTTGATATAGCGCCTGATCACCTCGGTTTAACGTTTCAGGTATTGCAACTCTCCCCCGACACTGCCCTGGACTGTCAGACCAGAGACTGTGCCAGTTCAAAGATACTTGAACCAAGGTAATGATGTGTAGCGCCTGTTTTTTGTAGGCAAAGGTGGGTGTGATTTACATTAGCAAGTTTGACCTACTCCCCACCCACCCCCGCCCGCCCGTCCAAACAGCAATGAATGAGCAATTTATCTGGGTGGGGCGTTCGTTGGTCAGGACAACTTGAACCGAGAGGCGAGAATGCTGTCAACTGAGCCAGGCTGACACCTGGGCTGGCGATAAACTGGGAGAAAAACTCAAGTCTCTTTGGAAACGGAGGCTGTGGAAAGGTGGGGTGGGGTGGGGTAGGGTGGGGGGGTGGGAGAGGAATGGGGGGGGGTCTTTTCATGTCCACCCGAAAGACAAAACAGACGGGAAAGAAGGGAGAAACGACACAAAATAAAAGGTTTCAAAAACCGGTACGTACGGTTCAGGCCGATGTCGTGAAAGGTCACGATGACGGGCCTGTTGCCCTTCGGGGCCCCCCGCATGGTGACGTGCAGCATGCCGTGAGCTGTCTCGATCTCATGCTCCTGTGGGAGGGAAAGGCACAGGTCATCCCCTTTCTCTTGCCCCTCCCCACCACTCTCTCTCTCTGGGTTTCCCCTCGATGCCCCAATTACCAATGCACGGACCCAATTCCTACAAACAATTTAAGAGCGTTTACTATGCTGCACGTAAAGCTAAGGCTGGTGCTCAGTTTCATGCGCCCCCTTATGCAACAGTCTTTCAATTGTAACTCACATACAATCCTAATGACGATACAATACAAATTTATATCTATATAGCGCCTTTCACATCGGGAGGACGTCTCAAGGCACCCACTTACTTGCCCACACGTACTTTATTTATGGTTTAGGGTGTCTGATACATGAGCCCTCACTAGGTGGATGGTAGGTAGGTACCAGGAACTCCCTTGTGAGCTTCCTGATGGGCATCGCAGCTCGGCATGAAATACGTGAGAGCATTGTTGCCATCTTCTTGTCCACAGCTCGGGCACACACGCACTTACTTACATGACGTGACTTGCCACGAACGGAAAAAGCCAACATTCTTTAAAGAGACGGGCTCCGCTAGCCACCGCGGTTTAACCCGTTTGACACTCACCGTCCCGGCAAGCGAGCAGTCAATCTCCCGCAGCTCCAGAAAGCCTGACATTGTGGGCCGATCGATTGTCAGAGACACCAAGGGCTTTCCCTGAAAGTTTTGTGCCGATCCGATGTTGTGTGTGTGCGTGCGTGTTCGAGTCCTTCCTTGGCGCTGACTGCAACGCTCAGCAACTGGGTGCCTTAGAGCCGCCACGAGGTAAATCTCCACCCGTTTAAGCTGATTGGATTAGTGAAGGTCGGATCTGGATTTCCAAGGGGTAGTGACAGGCCAGAACGCACATAACCCACCCCAGACCTCACCGCCCATGTTAAGGGAATAACAGCGTCTTATTTCAGCCTCGCCACACAGAAAACATTCGCTAACCCTGATTTGGAGAACGTGGGGAGCGCTTTGCAACCTTTTGCCTTTCCTCCCGGTCTTAGCTCTTCGCCGTGGAATGTTAAAGCCGCCGGTGATTAGTGGGTACTGTGATGGCAGAGCTGGTTTCTATGGCAACCCCGTAACCCAGCATCCAAACACTGGGAGGTCCGACAAGTGAGTAACTAAGCGATGACTCTGAGACAGAAGCAAAGGCAGAACGAAGCCAAAAGGCTTTCGTCTTCTGTGCTGGGAATAAACGTGGACGTTTAACAATACAGCCTCGCCTTTGATACAGCGCCTCATCGCGTCATCGACGCTTCTCAAAGCGCTCCCTGGGAGTTTTATTTATTTTTATTTTGTGTTTGTATTTTTGGCACAGAGGGAGTCCGCTCGATCCCTGGGCCACCGCTAACTCTGTTTTGACCAAAATCGCCGTTTGTTTTTATTCATCCCACTTTCGGGCTCTTTCCCGCCTCCCTGAATAGTTTTCACTCGGGACAAGTTTAGGGTGTTCGCTTTTGAACGGTGCGATTGAACTGGCCTCAGCATCCACTCGTGGCGATCAACTCAAGCCTCAGCCCAACAATCCTCTGGGTGAACAAACTCCTGTCAGCCTCATGAAATATATTGTAAAGTCAATTGATGGTATATCGTGTGGGCGAAACACGGCAGCTAATTGCGCTCGGCAGTCTAATTTCTCTGCTAACAACCGGAGAGTGTGTCCGCTTGCTGCTCAATCCCCAATTAAAGCAAACAGTTTTTTTCTCCCCTGTTACCTCGCCTTGCCCTTTCACAATCTCATCCTGTCTCCTCTCCATTTTCTCTCCTCCCTAGTAAAGAGAGGCTGTGTTTAGACCTGGTCTCCACGCAGCAGAACAGAGCACAAAACAGCACACAGCCCCTTGCATGCTAATGAGTGGGTTTCATTGCGCACATTGTTTCAAAGATTGATTTCATTTGAATTATTGGCTGGTGACAGCAGCCTCTGACAGTTTTGCTCGCTCACTTGCTCGCCAGGCTGTGTGCGGCAGTGAGAAATGCCAGCTGCCTTCGATCCTTTACTAAAGCCTCTCACTCTATCCAGGATTACCCGCAAATCTGCAACATAACACATGAGTGACCGCGAGCACACAGGACGCTTCTGTTGTAACGCAATCAGAGCTCCAACCCTGGGATTTGTGGCTCGGTGCTCCAATGATTTGAATACTGAGTGCCCGCCCCCCCCACCCCCCCGTAGCGTAGTGGTTAGCACGCTCGTCTTGCAAGCGAGATGACCTGGTTTTGATTCCTGGCAGAACAAAACCTTAGGCAACTTTCCTTACTCCACACTCCTCTGTTTACCGAGCAGTAAGTAGGAAACTGGTTGTTAGTTGATTGGCGGATCTCTTTCCAGGGTAATAATCCCTCCAAAAAAATGAAATAAATTTGGTCACTCTACCCACAAATGTTGGCTAGAGTCCCCCAAATAATCCCCAAATAAAATCGGTTGTTCACTCCATGACTGTTTGTGGGACGCTGCTGTGCGCAATTGTACTGCCGTGTTTCGCACACAAAATGCACAGTCACTCCACTTTACAATATATTCTGTGAAGCGCTTTGAGACAGCTCATGACACGATAAGGCGCTATATAAAAATCAAGGAATATTATTATTTACTATAATTACCATTGATGTACCGAGTCACCATTTACTCCCCTTTATTCCCATTCAGGGAGCAGGAATAATATGAGTTCTGTGGATTATGTTGTCAGCAATTGTCAGCAATCGTCAACACTACAGAGATTCCCCCTCTCCCCACCTCACATTCTCAAGGTCCAATTACCTCCTGGTGTAGATTTATTTCTGTGTGAGGTTCTGGGGCTATTTAGCCATGTTTTGGGGGTGGGGGGGGGGGGGCACGGGAGAGAAAGAAGGGAAATATTGCAACCAAATCCCTAATGTGTAGTTAGGGTAACATTGGGTTTCAGTAGCTGGACAATAATAACACTCTCTGGAAATAGGCAATGGAGTGGGGGTGGAGAGGGCACCTATGTTAAGGAGACAATGCAAATGGAGGATGATGATGATGTGGAAATAGCTGCGGAGCTCACCTGGCAGTCAAAGTCTTGGAAATTCCTCGCCGAGTTCTGCAGTGATGGAGAGGAAAAGAGAGCGAGAGAAAGAAAGAGAGAGAACAAGAGAAAGGCGTCAATAACCTAATTAATTGCCACCCAGGAGAGGGTTATCAATTCAGCCAGTCGGCCACAGTTAAAGTCAATGGGAGATAAGTCTCACTGCATTAACCGACAGTGGCAACCAGTGATAATGAAGTGTCCCCCATACACGCGTTGCTCTATAGCCTGTTACTGTGTGAATGATGATGCACAGAGAGAGAGAGATAAACAAAAATTGCTCTGTGAAGTAATCAGTGGAGATTGAGTCTATTTTTAAACCACTTTTATCCAAGGTTTCTCCCTCCTCTTTCCCACCATTGACAAATTAGTTCATAATAATAATAATCCTTGTGTTTGCTATAGGGCCTTATCAAGTCGTCGAGACTCCTCAAAGCGCTTCACAAGATACACTGTAAAGTGGAGTGACTGTGTATTTTGTGGGCGAAACGCGACAGTTCAATTGCGCACAGCAGCGTCCCACAAATAGTCATGGAGTGAACGACCAATTTTATTTGGGGGATTGTTGGCCAGGGACACTGGGAGAGAGAGAAACTCCTTTCTCTTTTCAAACAGCGCCATAGGATCTTTAAATTCCATCTGAACAGGCAGACGGGACCTTGGTTTAACATCCCACCTGAAGGACTCCACCTCCGACAATGCGGCAACGCCCCCAGCATTGCATTGGAGCATTAGCTCTTAGACTATGCGATTCCAAGGACCATCGTGGGGCTCGAACCCACAAACCTTCTGACTCAGAGGCGAGAGCGCTACCATTGCCCCACGCTAACCCCCTTCCCCCATCCCAGTAACAAAGCACATTATTTTCCTCCTCTTAACCCCGACAGCAGTGAGTGTGTCTAAGGAGCGTCAGGAACGCCCGCCTACCTGCTCACTTTGCTTTATGAGAACAAGTCCGTCCCTTACCCCATCCGTCAGTAGTGGTTTAATCTCTGTCAGCTGCACGTCCTGGAGTTCCTCCATTGTACAGAGCGCTGGAGCACAAAGCCAAGCACTGCTCCCAAGCAGGCAAGGTCACTGTAACACAGAGGAGAGAAGATAATAATAATATTAATAATAATAAAACACAACAGAAGTTGCTAGGGACACTTAGCAGCATCTATGGAGAGAGGAAAGTAACCTTTCGTCATCGACCGCAAATGTTAACTCACTTTCCTCTCTCCCCAGTGTCCCAGCGACGTCTGCTTTTAATGCAGATTTCCAGCATCTGCAGTGTTTTGCCTTTTGACAATAATAATAATAATCCTTGCATTTGCTACAGCGCTTCAGCATGTTGTTGAGATGTCTCAAAGCGCTTTGCAGGATGTATTGTAAAGATAGTGTGTCATTTGAGTTTAGAAGGTATGGTGGGCGGGATGATCTGATTGAGGTGTTTCACGACCGTCCTTCAGTTAAATGTTTCACATGATAAAGGGATTCGATAGGGTATCTACAGAGAAACTATTTCCTTTGTTGGTAGTTGGAGGGAATCCAGAACAAGGGGGGGCATCATCTTAAAATTAGAGCCAGGCTATTTTAAGAGTGAAATCATGAAGCATTTTTTCATGGAAATCTGGAACTCTCCCCCAAAATGTCTGTGGACATTGGATCCATTCAAATTTTCAAGACTGAGGTGGATAGATATTTGTGAGGTCAGGGTATCCAGGGATATGGGACAAAGGCGGGTAAATGGAGTTGAGATACAGATCAGCCGCAATCTGATAGAATGTCGGAACAGGCTCGAGGGGCTGAATGTCCTACTCCTGTTTCTACGTTCTTATGTTCCTATGTCACACGACCGTCCTTCAGTTAAATGGGGCAGACGTTAATCATTGACTGTTCTGCCGTGTGTTTTACTGTGAAGGTCTTGCACTGACTCACGGGAATTGCAGATTAATGCAACTCAAGTCACCTGTTCTGTGCAATGACACTGCACCCCCTCTCTCAGCAATGACATCCCTCTCACTGAGGAACCACAGTCCTGGTACCTTTCACAAGTCAAGCAAATTTAGCGAGTCCGATGATGGAGAGTTATTTTGAGTGTTTAAAAACAATTAAATGTTAATTAATCATCTACAAGGAACAGACACAGAGTATGTGCCTTTCTCTCTCTGTCTTGATCAGTGAGAGAGATCAGTGTGTGAGACACAGTCTCTACTGCTCTCTCCTGGAGATCAGTGTGTAAAGCACTCAGTCTGCACTGCTCTCTCTTCCCCTGGAGATCAACAAAACAACAACTTGCATTTATATAGCGCTCTTCACACAGGGCAGCATTTTGGAGCGCTTATCGGTGTGGAACCTGACACTGAGCCGGGGAGGGGGAGGAAGGAAGGAGGTGACCAAAAGTACGGTCGAAGAGGAAGGCCTTCAGTCGTGATCTGAAAATGGAGAAGGAGGGGTGGGGCAAGGTGGAGGGATGGAAGGAGAGAGTTACAAAGCTTCAGGGCGTAGTGGCTGAAAGCACGGCCATCGATGGTGGAGCTGAGGGGATGAGCAGGAAGCCAGAGCCGGCTGAGTGGAGGCGGCGGGTGGTGGAGTGGGGAGAAAGCAGAGAGGTAGGGAAGGTGCCAGAGCGTGAAGCGATTTATAGATAAGTGTTAGTGTGTGAGACACAGCCTCCTGTAATGGTCTCTCTGCTGGTGATCAGAAGGCAGTGACAATGCCATCTCACAGACAGTGGCAGGTTTCCAGGCAACACCAAATCAATATAAATAAAATGTGCAAGTCTTACGTACTTAAAATAATTACAATGTGTTTCCGAATCTGGAGCAGCGAGAGATGGGACCAGATGGGGCTGTTGAGAGGATCAGATAATCACTGGAACAAATGGGAACGCTGAGGAATAAAACCTGGGATTTGTGTCTTTTTAACGTGATTAAAGAGAAATGGGAACTTGCGAACAAGTTCTAAAGCCTACTTCACTTGTATCTAAAAAAATCTGCATGCCCGGCAGTCCTTAAAAAACAATATAATAATAATAGTTGCATTCTATATAGTGCCTTTTGATGTCGTTGAGACATCC